CGCCCGTACTAATATACACCGGCCTTTCACTGACTGTGCCTCGGTGCAGTCCAGGCACACAGGTTGGTTCTAAAGCTCTCATCTGGGATGTCCAGTCAGGTATGTAATGTATTTGCAGTTGTGTTACCAGGAAATGGAAGGTTTCTCATAAGCTTCTCTATTATAAGACCTCTCCAGAGATGCCCAGTTAGAGCAGTGGTCTTTTAAAACTCAGAAATGATGTTAAACTCTCAAATGATGTTATGAATGAGTTGCAAAATCAGACCATAAAAGTCATGCCCTTGCCACTCAGCTGTGAACAAAGCAAATAAAACATGGATGTGACATAAAGAGAAGGGCCCTGCTCTCTCAGCAGCTACTCTAGGCCAGGTTCGAGCGAGGCCTTTTCCATGCACACTCATTTCATCCTCACATCTCACCTATGACGTGGGCATGGATATTCCTTTTGGTGCTCTCGCCTTTCTCTGACCCAGAAAAGGCAAAAGAGAAGCCACAAAGAAAGGATGAAAACAGAGAGTCGGAAAAAATGGTGAACAGAGTCAGTGGAACGTGGCCTTAAGACGTTACCACCAATAACATCAATTCCTTTGGGCTATGGCTCTGCATGAAATCACAGAACAAAATTCAAGTGCAGCATTCAGTGCAGTGGCAAACAGCAACTCTACTCACTACTGTCAAGACCAAACCCTCTCATAGCTGACCCCATGCAGGGGTTCCGGGAGGCTAGAAACCGTGTGGAAGGAGACTCCATCTTTCTCCCTCGGAGCCGCTGGTGGATGTAAACAGCCAGAGACGGTGTCTTTGAGTTAGCCTCACAACTCCCTACAGTCACACCAGATCTCCAGCAAAACAGGCCCTCAGACAGCAAGAAAAAGCAACACACAAGCAAAGTCAAGTGTATTTTACACAACACACTCTTCAAGTCAAAACCAGCTCATAACAGATCGTCCAGCAGGTTTTCAGAGGCAGAAAGTCGCACAGGAGAACAAGGACTGCTCTTCTCCCCAGGAGCAGTGGGTGGATTAGAATTGCCCACCTTGAGTTGACAGCACAACTCCTTCGGTCACCAGAGTTCCCTGAAGAACACACTGGAGATAGCAAAACAGGCTGAACTGCTGGGGATGGCGCTCTGGTGCTGACCGCACAGTCAGGGAGCAGTTCACTGTCCATCTACATTCATGTAATTCTACCATTTAAGAAGGTGTCCTAGGTTAGCACACACTTACCAGGCAGCTAGGAGCATAAACAATAGCAGAAGACTGGCTCTGCAAAACGAAACTGCTGCTCTGATCACCCTGCCAGACAAAGAGGGCCTTTCTTACAAAAAAAAAAAAAAAAAGGAGAGAGATCTCTAGGGTGTTTTGAATGACAAGAGCAACCCAGAGACCAGAAACTGCTTAGTCCAAACCCTACTTTGGAAGAAGCATGTAGGGGGAAAGACATCCTCAATCCTATCCACATACGGGAATCCTCTGATGAACATGTGAGCTTTTCTCAACACTCAACAAGTGGGTTTCCATGACTGCCCCCTGGGGAGGAAGGATACCACCTGGCTTCTGAGTCTGACCACTGCAGACACCAGCAAGCATTTTCTTTGGGAAGTTCCACCAGTGGCCCACAGTTCTCCAAACAACTCAAACTCATTGCCTTTCAATCAGAACCCTCTCACGGCTGGCACACCATTGGGTTTTCTGAGGCTGTAAACCCCACAGGAGGAGATTGCTCAGCCTTCTCCTGCAGAGCAGCTGGTAGATGCGAAGTGAGGCCTTTGGGTTAGGAGTGTAACTCCGCATGGACTACGCCACCAGAGCTCCCCACAGTTCCCCATTCCTTCCAAAAGTGATTATGTAACAGAAATAAATGCTAGGTCAAGAGATGCCATGGAGGGAAAACAAAACACAATCTCTGACAGCATCTTGACTAAGAAAACTAGGTCTGACCAACTGGAACAAACTTCTTCCCTGAGAAAGGGACACTCTGCCCTCAAAGAGAATACTGATGGAAAATATTAATTCTTCCTGAGAGACGTAGCCACTGCAACAGAAACGATGAAAGAGCAAAAGCATTTTTCCTACTGATACCAACTTTCCCACTGCAAGAGGCCTATTTACTTTGATTTAAAAATGCATTGTTGTCCCCCTTGCTAATAAACTAGATGGTGGAAAAAGAACTTAAATTATTCTAGGTTTATTCCTAAAAGCTCTTAAAATAGGAGCAAAGACCTTAATCCTTAAAAGCCTTTCTGAAAGCAGTGCAGGGTTGCCTCTGCGGCTGCAGCTGGCCCCTCCTGGAAGTGCACTTGGTCCTTGCGTTGAGAACTGAAGGGCTCCGACAGGCCAGGCACAGCACATAAAAGCTTTGGAAATGGCATTCTTTGGTCCTCGTGCAATTCATTCTTTTTTTTTTTTTTAGAAAAGGAAATGGGAAGAAAGGTTTCATGTCCAGGCCTTTGGGCCTTTGATCATTTGATGAACACTGGATCGGCAACCTGGGCCTCCAACTTCTCAGGCCAGACAAAGAGAGCCCAGGCCTCACAGGCCAGGCCCTGGTTCCTGCCAGAACAAAACCCCTGGCTGCCTCACAGTGTGGTGGCCTGGGAAAGGCCCACCTCGGCCAGGCGGAGATGCCCGATCTGCCCTTTGATCTTGCACGAAACCCTGGGCCCAGGCTTCAGGTCAAGGGATTTCCCACTGCACACCACATCACCAGAGGGGAGCAGGTCAAGAGCAAAATGGGGGGTGACCAATCTTAAGAAAAACCCCGTGACTCCCTTCTTGGGCCAGTTTCACATGACTGGCCTCGCATTGTTTAACGCCTGGCCCACACTTGAAATGGAATTTGACATTACATGGTACAATGGAGGCGATAAATGGCTTTCCTTAGCGCTCAAACAATAAAGTCAACCCTTCCTTAAGTGGCTGAAAGCCCTAAACTGGAGCATACTTTGCATTTACTTGGCTAGAGAACCAACTTGCAAATGCTTGAAATCCACGTTGTAGTTCTTCATCTTGGAAGCCAAAATAATCCAAATCCTGAGAAAACAGAAGCATCACTTTCACCTACTGCTTATTCCTTTCACTTGTAAGCTCTAATCTCCATTTGAAATAAGTGTGCAGCCAGTAGTGCATTGTGCCACATGCATGTCCAGAAACATTTAAGTGGGGGGGGGATCTGTGTTATTCTGGAAGTTTGGGGGTTCAATAGAGGGAAAATATTTATGTGCACAAGAGGTAGAAAAGGAAGGAGTAGAGAATACAAATCTCATTGATCATGTCAAATTTGCAAATGAAAAGATATATATGAGAAAACACAACAGCACTGACGAACAAGGGAAAAAACCATGGTTATAACGACAAAAGTTATGACTATTCTACACTGTAAAACAAAAATCCTCATTAAAAGCACTGTTAGAGCATTCTCATTTTTGTGGTTTTTTTTTTTACTCTGTTTTCACATCTCTAGCATTAAACTAATTCAAACTGCCCAAAATAATATCTGGTGGTACAAAACCCAATTACAAAATTTTTCTTTCATGCTCTCCCCAGCAGCAAATGAGACACGGAGAGAAATAACACTAGAAATAACAATAGACTTGAGTTCTAGTAACTAAATAATTGTAGACCTTCAGCTAATTTACTTAAGCTTTGCTGTACTGATGTAAAATTATGGGCTATTATTTTAACCTTTGTCCATCTCTATCCTTGGGCTAAGGAGGTGGTAGTATATTAATTATCAGAGAAAAAATAGTAGAAGGGAAAAAAGCACCACTTGAGAATTTGCGTGAAAATGTATAAAAACTAATTTTCTGTATTTGCTGTCTTCTGTTGTTGAGTGAAAGATATAAAATGTGTGACTGCCCCATATGCTTTTGAAGGTGTAAGTCTGCATTACATTGTGTGTGTGTGTGTGTGTGTGTAGGGGGTTACTGTGTTCCACGGAGTCAGAATGACCCATAACTGGGACCAACTCTTAGCTCTGTCCTTCACATGAGCTATTGGCTTGTGTGGTTTCTAAAACTCCTCCTAATACTATAACACATGGAGTCTAAGATCTATGCATTCATTATCTTTGGCAGGAAATTAAGAGATTTTACCTATATTTATAGGTTAAAAAAAAAGCTCTAATAAAATATAATTATAGAAAGAAAAAAAAATAAAGTTGAAATTTGAGGTATAAAAAAAAAAAAAAAAAGCTCTAGTGTACTTTTTAAGGCTACCAAAACATACTTCCTTCAAAGTGTAAAGAGAGTCACTTAGATAACAAGTTGTAAACAGCAACAGGAAAGTTTGTAAGGCTGGACTGAAAGAAAGTTATTTGTATTTGATGATAATTGTTGGCAGTATCAGATGATTGGTAAGAATGCAATATGAAGCTTCACTGCTGCCGTGACTCTATGGGACAATGCATAACTGTCCCGACTGGGGGTGGTTGCGAACTGCTCACCTTTTGGTTAGCAGCTGAATGCTTAACCCCCTCACCACTAGGTTTCCCTTATAACCTAAACATTGTGTCATTATGTCCCACTACGTATGACTCATAGTGACCCTCTGAACAACAGATTTGAACTCTGTCCTATCCTATGCCATCCTCACCATCTCTGATATAATCTAACCCCTAACCTAAACAGTATCCTGCAAATACAACCAGTGATATGTTATAAAAAATACTTTATGATATTACATGCTAGTATCACATTCAAAAATCCAAAGGCTGCATTCTTCACAATACTGATATTCATATCATAATGCATTCAATAAATATTTATCATGCACCTACTATGTGCTCAGCACAGTGTGACGTGCTGAGTAGAGCCTGATAACAAAGGATGAACCTGGGAGATGTGTTGGCAGCAAATAACTTTAATGTGATTCAGGAGAGGGACAACAATCCTCTAATTTTTTTTTCTGAAGGCCTTCTGTGAATATTACACCCTATGTTGCCATAGCAACGCCATCACATATCTCAGCCACAACAAAGCAAGCAGGGCTTTTGAATCTCACCTTTGGCCATCTTATTGAGAACCATGTCAATCAGCACGTAGGTGCCGCTTCTTCCTGCACCATCACTGTCAACAGAAGGAGAGAAAATGAAAATGCCATCCACACAGAGTCAAAGGAAACACACAAAACAGCTAGCAACAATCCACTTCACTCTCTCTTAAGTGAGGCCAGCTGAGGAGAGGAAGGTTGTGGATTGGAAAGAGAGGAAGGAAGTGGGGTGGGGACACATCACAGGGCTGGGAGGGGGTATGAGAAGAAAGGAAGGGAGCCATGGGGGGGGGGAAGAAAAGCCAAACAAAAAGCCTTCATCCATCCTAGCGCACTCTCAAAGGATTAACTACTGTGCGTGGCTAAATTTATTTCTTATTCTTTTTCCCTCTTTGGCCAAAGATGTGGTAAGTTTTGCCAGCAAAAATAGAAACACAGAAATGTTTGACTATTTTGAGAGTTGATGGCATTTGCATTTAAAATGTAGACATACTTTCTATATGGTAACTGGATGGATAATCCACTGAGCTAAAAAGAAGGGGCCTGGGCTGCTCTGCCTTTGTTGGCTTTGGGCTGGGGCTCAGTCCTGTGCTGTGCCGCCCCCTCCCTAACGCATGTCACTCTTTCTCAGAGGCAGAAGTACACTTATCATTTGTTGCCTTAAAGATGCACCCCTGTTTCATTTCTTTTTCATTCCCACCAGCTATAGTTAGTTGGAATATTTACCATCTGGACTGAAGCTGTAAAAAAAAAAAAAAAGTTTTGAATTGTATATCAACAGTAGCCAATGTGGGAAAAATGATGGATTTTCTGTAAGAAATTTGCACCAAGCACCAACTTTCTTTATTTCTTGAAAATAAAGACTGGGCAGCCATTTTCTTCCTCTTGAAGCCTGCCACTGAGTTGTAAGAGTTTGAGAAATCCTCTTTAAATGAAACAGGACTTTCCCCCACCCCCACATTCTTTATAGTCTTGGCTAAATAAACTGTAACTTCAAGGCAAAAAACTTTCCACCTCAGGACTGCAATACTTATGGGACCAAATGCCAAATCATTTTGCTTTCAGAGTCTGATCTGCATGTTGACTTACTGTTAATTCTGAGAAATCATGTGTAAGACAATAGGTTGTTTTAGATTAAAGAATCACTGAACTTAGCTGTCACATGTTTCCAGAAATAAATGGTGAAAAAAGCTGCAGTTTGGGCACATAAATATTTCACAAGTTGTATTTTCATAATCTACATATGTTCTCATGACATTAAAAAAAAAATAACAGCAAAGCTGGTCCACCATTTAATTCTCATTATTGCAAGTGGTTACAGTTAATGGTTTCCGATGTTGAATGTTTTCTTCCTTCTCTTCCTTACCTAATACACATTCACTTTTAAGACATACTACATATAATACAAAAAGTTTCCAATTAATTGTAGCTTCACCTATATTTACAAGTAAAAAAATGAACAGTTCAGTATTTTGAATTCTGGTGAACCAAAACACTTGAGCCTTATGTGTGCACTCTTTCTTTCAAACACACACACACACACACACAGAGAGAGAGAGAGAGAGAGAGAATTTCCTGACTGTAGTGATGACTTGGTGTATCAACTCAGGGCACAGATCACTTTGGATCCCAAGCAGAAAAATTGAAGACATGGTTTTTTAAAAAATAGTGGAGCATTGAATCAAGTAGAAGAGTGTCATCAGATGTAGCTTTCTTTGAATGGGGCTAATCAAAGTGACTTTAACCTATTTGAGGATAGTAGCCTTGCCTTTGTGGCTGCAGGGATAGATCTACATAATAAACAGGAAGGTGTCCCTTAATGTAATATAGAGCTCGTACCTGTTCATAAATTATTCCTTGCAAGCTTTCCTCATGGTCTGCACAGGGTGACTGAGAAAGCATATCAAAACCACTATTTTGACCATTTTAGTGTCGTGGCATCATGCAGCTTCAAGAAGAAAATATGGTGGTACATCTTGAATGTTAGGCAATAGATTAACCACCACAGTGGTTTTCCAGAAAGAAAACAGACCATGAATAATTTATTTTACAAATGTAAGGAAATAAATGAAAGGCCATGTCTTTGATTTCTTTTAGAAATTAAAAAACTCAACTTCATTGCCAGCCATTGAGTTGTGACTCACAGCTGACCCTCCTATGAGTTTCCTAGGTTGTAAACTTCTAGAGGGGAAAAGCCCATCTTTCTCCAACTATCATTGGTGGATTCCAACTGGCAGAGAGGTCCTGCCCTTGGGTTTGCATGACAGCTGCCTACAGACGAGGCCAACACTTATACATATTTATGACACAATTAGAAAGTTCAACTTCTATATTTCATTTGTATACTTTTTATTTTGAGGTAGCAACATCTTCTTAATCCATGTTAAAAGGTGTACTTGCCTGCAATGAACAATTATTGGACAAGAACGGCCCCTGTAGCACTTGTTAACTTTTCTGAAACAAAAAGAGACATAGAAATGATTGTTATGTTCTATGATTCTATGATATCCAAAATAACTAGTGAACTGAAGGTAAAAGTTCTTATCCTTAAAATGACTTCACAATAGACTTTCTGACAAAGAAAATTCAAATTACATATATATTTTCAAGTACGTCCTTTCCTTTTCAACATTAAATTATTAAATGCTTTTAAAACAATTTTTACACTTTCACAAAGATGTTTTCTCTCATTTTATTTTACCAAGTATAAATTCAAAACATTGGTCAATGGATCTTACCCACCCCACTCCAATTCTTTTTTTCCCTTAATTTCCCTTCTCTCTTTCCCTTTTCCTAATTCTTCTGCATTTTTTTGGTTCATTTACCTGACTCTTTGTTGTATCATGAATGTCTATATTTGCCACTGAAATTTGTAAGTTTTGTAATTTCTGTTAAAATTTCTCATAGTCTAAACATTATGCTAGAATATAGTATTACTATATCGTCAAAACACAGCATCTTAAAGATCCTTCTTACAGAGTATATGTTTAATCTGTCACGTTTTTTGAAGAATATTTAAATTAGAGAGAAATCACAACCAAGTTAAATCTTCTTAATTTTAGAAATCTTTTTCAATTCTGAGTGTATTTCAGAGAGGCATAAAAAATTACCAATAAACTTATCTTTCAGATTTTGTAACCAATCCCTCAAAATAGGTGGTTGATTATGATTCATCACAGATTTGTAATTCAGTGAAACAACTAAATGTTTTTACAAAGTGCATCCAATTTATCAGTAAAATATTCTTGAATAAAGAAAATGGAAGTCAGAATCTGGGTTGACTAGAAGGAGAATCTGTGTGTGATAAGTTGTTCTAAGATGTGTTGTAGATATTTCTATAGCATAAGTCAAGAAATTTTTTTAAAAAGGAATAATATAGAAATTTCTTCCCTCAGACCAGAAATAATAAATATTATCTTTCTCTGTAAAGGCTTGCCTACTCAGGAGTAAAACAGTTGAAAGTAAAGATTCTATCACCAAGTTGCTCTGTCTATAAAACCCCAAGTACCATGATAAAATGGTGGGTTGGGGGGAATGGGTAGCAATGAGAGAAGATGAGTGTAGGAAATGACTGATGAGTTAAACAGATATTTTTGTCATAAAGCTCAAATATCAGATTTCCCTCCCTTATTTCTCTACTTTAACTCATGAAATCCTCATGTATACCACAGCAGAATTGTGCTTGTAGGCTTTTTGGTGGCTGACTTTACAGAAGTAGACTGCTGAGCCTTTGTTAAGAGTCCCCTTAGCATAGACCAGTATCTTCAAACTTCTGGCCAGCAAGTGAACCTGTTGAACAGTTTGCATCATCCATAGTGCTCCAATGCAAATAGTATAAAGCAGAGTTCCTGGGAGGAGCAGGGCTGTGCACTAGACAAGATCCATTAACACCTGTGGACTGGTCATTTTAAAAGACTTATTCCTTGTAACATGTGATCTATGGCAACTCCAAGCTGTGCAAATATGTAGCTTTTTAAGGTGCACAGAACAAATAAAAATGCTTTAAAAGTGGTGAAACACAGGGGAAGCAAGTTATCCAGTTTCTTAATGGTCATGTTTTTTTTTTTTCCTGTCAGGGCTTTTTCCATTTTTCCTGGTGTACGCTGCAATGTTAATTTTTTGGGGGGTGGGGGGAAGTGGAGAAAAATCAACAGCATTTGCACACCAGAATGCTTTAAAAGTTCTTGGTCCTTTGAGAATAAAACTGATTGGAAAATACAGCCACTCGCTTTTCCTTCTAAAATCTCCTACTCTTCAGAAGGTTGTAAAGGCAATGGGTGGTTATGCTCTGATAAAACATATGTTGAATACTAGGAGAGAGAGAGAGAGTGTGTGTGTGTGTGTGCATGAGCACACATATGTACATACATGCATGTGAAATCAAACAAGCTCAAGAGTCTAGGCAAATTACTTTTAATGGCCTTTTGCCATCAAATAGAGTTTATAGGCAATTTCTAATAAGGAGGTTATACAATGTGATCAGGAGACCACTTTAGTTCCATACTTCCAATAGCCTGTTATATTTACAGGATGGTCCATTCTGCGCTATTGCAAACTAAGCTAAACATCTGCACAGGCTGGCATAGGGCCAGGTCTTGGACGGGGTAGGGTTCTTGTTGTTGTTGTTTCTGATGGATCAAGCACAAAAAAAGAGATCACTGTTTTGAAAAGGAAATAAGCCACTAGATATTTATTCTTCTTTAAAAGGTACTGATTCTGAAAAATAGAAATGAAAAGAATCAGTAGAAGAGTCGCATCCTATTTATAGCTGGTCAACTCGGCCCCTCCCCTTAACAAAACTTGATAAGAATAAACTCCTTTGCTAAGAAATGTTGCTAAAAAGCTAATTACTAGCTAACATGGTTGTAATTTGCTTCCCCGCTTGTATAATTCCAGTCTTTATTTTATGGCATATTTAAAATATTCTTTTTCTCTACCATGTTGTGACTGGCTGCCTCAGCAGGATACAGGGAGGTCTTACTGTGATTTTCATACCCACTTTGGCCCTTGCCCCACGCTAAACTTATTTATAAACAGTTGCAAACAATCAAGGAAACATGTTGGGTAAAACTCATGTGATGCTATATAGATATATACATTTATAATTTTAAAGAATTTTATTTACAGATCATTCAGATGCTTGTATTATTACAGCTGCAAACATCACAAAAAGGCAAAGCCATCACATATTCAACCAAAGTTTTCATACAGTTAAAACAGAGACTACAGATTACTGACAAAGATAAGTAAAGCACAGCTGTCTCGTTTTTAATTCTGTTAGAACAAATCACCAGGAAGCAAAAGGTCTCAAACATTAAGAAGGGGAAAAAATAATATTATATCTATTTCAATAGGAGGAATTGACCACGAAAGAATGATTAGTAATACAAACCAACCCATGGGTCACTGAGTGAAAAAGAAATCGTCATGCAGCCCATCATCAGCAAGCAAAGGTCAGAGGTCGTTAGAGGCTCAGAAAAGGGGTTTCCCACATTGCCCCTGCAGCAGAGTCACAGTTTCCAATGATCACTTTTGTGACTATGCAACTGGGCTCATATTACTAGCTGCAACATCACAAAAATGACACTGGCCACCGCTAATTAGCTGGCAAAGTAAGGGTTGGTCCATTTGTACAGTGAGCAGTGTTAGTAAATGCCATTGCACACAGCAAGAAGAGAGAGAATAATAGATATAGATAGATATATAATTTTTTTTTAAAAAGCAAAGCCCTTACATGTGATGCTAATTTTCTCTTAGCTTAGCAATTTCTCTTTAAAGTGTAAATGTGCTCCCTCTGGGCTCCAGAAATATTTAATTACACATCTCAGTGCCTGACTAACACACTAGGCCAGAGCCAGAATCCTTGGTCTATTGTTCAAAGGCAGAGGAGAAATCCCGTGGCATTAAAGGGACCAGTGTCTTCAGAAAGGGCCCCACCTTCTCGATGGCTGCATCTGGACAGCTTCTGAGCAGCTGGTCACCTAACAGCACTGGGTGTCTAGCACAGCGCATTTAAACCCACTGTCCGGTTTCCACATGAAAGGCAACCTCATCAGAAACTCTGATAAAACCAAATAAAGCAAGGGAAGCTTTCCACCCTCATGAGACTTTTAAAGCTGCGCCTGTGAGGTGGTTTTCTTTTTAACAGAAACCTTCTCAGATCATGTCTTCATAGACTCTGGGGCAAGGGAACTTGAGGAATCCATTTTTTCTTCATGATGACTTATAAACAAAGAGGGTTGGTTATGTATCCATTCGATTCTATATATGTATATGACATATCATTATACCCATATGCATATATATATATGAATGCATTGAATGCATATAAAAGACAGGGGTAGAAAGAGGAACATGTTGCTATGTCCATTTTGCCAGCAATGAGTAAGTTGTGGAAGATTTCATTTTGGGAAATTGACCCTATGTAAGATTTTAAAATAGTGTGTCTTTGGAAATAAGTTGACATTGAAAGAAAGTATATATAGAAAAAATATATAAGTGGTCTATAAATCAAAAATGATTTGAGGGGATTGTGTGTGATAGCTGTTTAACTGTGCATTCAGCATTCTGGATCCACAATGCACACTGTATCCTTCAGAGGTGACGGAGTGGGGCAGCAGTCACTGCGTGTGCTTCATACACGGGACATCAAAGGCATGTCTCTCCTCCAGCCCATTCACATGCTACTTGATCCAAAGAACTACTCAAACCCAAACTTCTCTTTTACTTTCCAAAGTATACTAAAAGGCAAAAGAAATAGCGTCATAACAACCTTAAGAATCTGTAACATAATTTCAAGCAACCCAGAAATAATTCGAAAACATCAATCTTTAAGACAATCCTTGTCTTTTCAACCTTTCTGAATCCTGCTACCCTAGCTTCATGGAAGAATAGCTGCTTATATACAAGCTGTTCTGTGATAGAGTAACGCTAGCTTAACAAATACACTTTGCTCTATTCTCTAGTACTTTGAGTATTTATCTGTGTTCCTTAGTGGACAGATTTCCAACCAGTTAAATTTAAGAGAAACTTCATATACTTAGAAGTTGGTCATTGACGTTGCTCAATATTTCACTTTCTTTTAGTTATTTATTCATTGCTCGTCATTGAACAGCAAATGTTAATTGTTACTATAAATTTGATGTGTAGTCAAAGCTTCCGTCTTAAATTTTGCTCCTTTTTCAAGGTCAGTTTCTCCCTGCAAGGCAGTCTAGAATTCACTTCATTTACTTCAACAATTCATTAAAAACATGTCAAAATAAGACAGTTCATTGGATGACCAAATTACTCAAGTAATGAACAAAAGACTGAATAAAGAAAAAAACAACTGAGCTTCAGACCTGCAATAGAAAGATATACTTGTCATGTACCAACTACAGCCAGGCTTTCATCCATAAGGACCCACTGTAGAATCTGGATGTAAACTTGCTACATCTCATTATTCCGTGCAACAGAGAAGTGCACATTAACATCCTATGAAATATAAACTTTAGCATTGTTCATCAGTTGATTAACTTTATCAAAGATAATTACTGTATTTCCATAATTCTAAGATGCCCATTCCTCTTTGAAATTTTAACACCTCTAAAACTAGGAAACATCTCAAAACTAATAGAACCCTCCCTTCCTTTCTTCTAGAAGCAACTGTAAAATGATTGGAACATTTTACAATCAGTGGCATCTTAGAAACAAGGAAATCTGGCATTAAAAGGTGCATGCTTTAATGTAATACCCAAACTAAAACATTGTAACCTGCTATTAGGAAGTTGGTGATACCTGCGGAAGTCCAGAAGTGACCGCGTGGAAGAAGGGACGCCCTGGTCATACCAACTGAGGAAATGGAACTGCGTGACGGTCCGAGTCTCATTGGTTTGAAGATTCTTCAGGTAAAAGCTTCTGACCAGGAAATCCTCACACCAGATATGCTCAGAGACCAGGTTAACCTACGATGTCAGGCGAGAAAAAGGAAAATGGGAAAAGGCATGGCCTGGGTAAGGCAAAGTTGAGCAGGAAGCAACTTTTGAGGAAGGAAGGGTGAACATTCCAAAGAGGACACACTCCCTACTGCAGGTGCGTGGACAATTGGCTTTGCTGGCTTCTCACACCTGCTCCATTTTCACATGACCACACTAGTTAGTGTTGTTCCTAATTTCACCCAAGAGGCTTTGAACAAAAGTACCAAGGAGTTTATGTGTTCTGCTACACATATACTGAAATCTCTCTTTAACTTAAATTTCATTTAAAGTAGCATATACTTGGACCTAGAACTAAGAAAAAAAACAAACCCACAAAAGCACAGAAGTATATTAGTATGGGCGCCACCAAATCACTTTCCCCGTTCAAGGCTATTTGCGGTGACCTAAAAGCCACAACTATGTGATTTAGGATTAATCTTTAAGCTCCTAACATGCTTCCTACTGTGATCTTCAACATTCTGATTAATTTCAATGCAAAACAGAAGCAAAGGATGCATTCTTGAGCTTGTTTAAACGTCCAAGTTTATTTAGTTCATTCTTCGTGTGGGTAGAAAATTCAACAAGGGAAATAAGCTTGTCAGCAGGTTATCCTCAAATAAAAAGGTCAAATGCTACATACACAAGACTCTAAACAGAGCTGTGGAAAGACCACACTGCTCAGCCAAAGAAATCAATAAATAATTAGAATAATAGCAGGGTTCTTAAAAAAAAAAGACCCTACTTATTCACAGGCCTGTTCTATGGGGCCTGATTCACTTGACTGCAGGGGGGAGGTAAAGCTGTTTTTGGTTCCCTCCCCCCCATTTTTTCCCTCTTTCTTTAGGCATTTGTATTTATAAAAAAATGAAAATTAAAAACATACCATTTACTCCAGTGTCCAGTTTATAACTACATATAGCTGGTTTAAGAGTTTGAATTTCTGTTTGTACTGGATGCTTGTAAACTTGCTTTCAAAACAAATCAACTAACCCCAACTGCCAGTTTACCCAGAGCAATCAAGTCAGTGCCAGCTCCCAGTGACACCATGCGTGTTAGAGCAGAACTTGGCTCCAAAGCTTCCAAAGGCTGATTTTTCAGAAGGCTACCAGGCCTTTTATCTGAGGTACTCTGGGTGAATTGCTATTGTTTTTATATGTCATTGTGTCAGACCTGACTCTCAGCTTACCCTCCAACAGGTTTTCAGAGGCTTGAGACTGCCCATCTTTCTCCTGAAGAGCATCTGGTGGATTTGAACTGCCAGCCTTTGGGTTAGCAGTTTAACTCCATACTCACCAGGCCAGCAGAGCTCCCTGATGTACAGTCCATCTGGAACTGACTCATAGCTGACATTCCAGTGGGTTTTCAGAGGCAGTAAATCACACAAGAGGATAATGCCCATCCTTCTCCTGCAGAGCAACTGGTGGCTTCAAACTGTATGCCTTTGGGATTACAGTGCAGCTTCTTGCCTCTAGGCCACCAGATCTCCCTAGTCCTTGATTATGCTAATAACTGAGAGTGCTAAACTTCCTAACACCAAGCCTGTTCTTCCAACCTCTTTCAAAGGGCTGACAAGCCCCGCTTCAGCTGTTTTCCTTCTGGCAGTGGTGACATAAATGCACACACAATTCTACTGCAGACTTTGCAGTCAAGGCCCAAGTGTCCCAGCAGTTCTCATGCCACTTGAAAGTAGGCTTCACTTTGAGCGGAATGGTATCAAGTAACACTGTGACTGATATGACAGTAAGAGATGCACTTGCACTCAACACTCTAAGCAGATGCTTGATTTAAGTACCTCGTAGATGTGGTAAAGGTTGGAGCCTTCATCTGGCCAGTAGTGGTAGCACTGCTTGACTCCATTCTCCGTGAGGGGTGTCAGCATGACAATAACCACACAGCCGCTCTCCCAGACCATCTGCAGACAAAGAAAGGCAACATGGCCACAGTGTGACTGCCTAATTACTGCGTGACATGTGTAATTACTGCACTCAGAGACACAATCAAAATTTATTCCATTCACAGGAAATTTATTTCATTTTCATTAGACACTTTTACTCTGCAGCTGCCTTCCAAATCTCTGAATAAAGTGGACCCACACTTTGCATGCCTCCATGAAATATTAAAAAAAAAAAAGAAAAAATTGAGTGCATTCATTTCAGGCCTTTAAAAAAGCTTCTTGGTTTCATGTTCAGCTGTTTGACTACCTAACTCTTGATTTGTAAAGGAAATTTTCTGTAATTCAACACAAAACATACATGTTAGGCTCAGAGGCGTCACCTTACAGCGGGCAGGTCACTGTGGTGAAGGACATGCTTAAAGTGCGCTGAAGTCCATTGATGTGTTTGGTTTTGGGGAATTGTCTATATTTTGCGTGACTAGAGAAACATTCTTCTAGACTATCAGAAGCCTGTTCCAAAAAGTTTTCTTTAAGAAGTGTATTACAGCAACACTGGTGACTGGATCTTTCCTTAGTTATGCCAGAATTTAGAAAATATTATTCAAATTAAACTCCAACTGTCTTACCAATCAGTTCAGAATCGCCACAGTGAAAACGGACTCAGAGGCTCAGAAAACACTTGAACATCAATATAGTTAGGTAGAAGGACTGAGAGTCACAGAGGGCGCTCCATCCCAAACTTCTTGACAAATGTAAGTCACAATTTTGTGGCTATAAACTTAGGTGTTAATACTTACAGTATAATTACTAAAACCATTAATTCTACCACAGTACACTAATGTGGGATTTATAAACTTTTACTAGCATATTAAATCAGAGTGAAGAGTATTCTGCTTTTCCCACCATGAGTTACATTGACTCCACAAAAATTTTTTATGGGCAACTGTGCTTAGATGCTAATTTAATATGTAAAAGAGCTGCTGTTTCTTTTAAAGACAGATGCAACAATCCAGTTAAGATCTTGTTATTTAAAATTCTACATATCCTAAACAGAAAATGTTTTCCCTTCATAGTACATGTTATTAATGTCCCCTTTTAAATTACATTTTAAAAATCAAACATGCACACAATATTTTCCTCCTTCCATATTTATTTATAATCCATGTAATAGAAACAGTCAATATCCTTAACATACTGCACTGTGTATCTGTTATATTGGAATTTAAATGGAAGCTGGTGAAGTATATACGAAAAAGCCCATAAATAAATATGAATCATGTCCAAACCTATATGTTTTTCATTTCCTTAGTGCGAATCCAACAATAAGAGGAGAATTCAAAACATGTGTCTTACTTTAAGCTTAAAAACCAGCTCTACTATATCGGCACTTTCATCACAGAACAATTTAATGTGCCTTTAGAAGGGATAGAAGCTCATTGAAGCCATTACGAAAATGAGGAGAAACACAGATTTTATGAGTGTAATAAAAATACAATGATCTAGACCATAAACTAATCATCTAGCACTCGCTTGTGCCACCCAAGTGTACCATTACAAAGCCCACTCATTTACAGAGGAATCCGTACAGTTGGGCAGCCCCTGCCATTGGCTCAAATACACTTCATTACTGGGAGCCCGCCTGGCTCTCTAAAGATTTGGTTAAGATTAAATCCAAATGAAACTTAATTTAAACAAACAATCACAAAGGCACACTGGGGAATAATATTTCTTTTTTAGGTCACTGAGTATAAAAGCAGAGATGGGAATTTACTAAATCAAACCAACGGCAGCCCAATTGGGTACCAACATTGCAATGGTGCTCATGGCTCTGATCTATGCTATTCTGGAAGCCGGACAGACTAACTCCCTAGAGGAGAGAAAAATCAGCCACTTCACCACAGACATCCCACCTCTGACCTCACTGTATGACTAGCTCAATTTCAGAATATGAAAAGAAGGACAAAATCGCTGGCTTGGAATACAGGGTAGTAGTAACCAATGCAGTCAGCTGAAGTTTTATTTCTAGACAGGACTAGTTTCTCAGCCATCATCTTCCTCAGCTAGGTCTTTGTTTGTAAGTAGAATCAAGGGCTCTAAGTACCACAAGGAAAGTGCCGGTCGTCTGGCCTACCTTTGTGAAAGTGAAACATTTATCTTCTAAGAAATAAATAATGACCCAGAATCCCTACTTAATCCTAGTGGAGACTACTGGAATAAGTGACTGATTAAAGAGCTAAATTACTGAATACTAGAAATGACTACTACTAGCACTTTCTAAGGACACAGTTTTCCAGTCATCCACTCCCTTATTTGATACACTTATGGAGCCTCTACTTTGCGTCAAGTATTTAGCTGGAGATTAAGAGATGAACACCAGCTCAGCACAGCACAGTTGCACTGTGCACAACTACAGTGCCAATATAGTGCCACTCAGTACGTGTGAGAATACAGGGCCTCCGTGTTCTTTGGTGCCTCTTTCATAAACATGGTGGGAGGGGACTACTTTTCTAGATGAGGAGCAGATCCCTCCATTGCTGGGTCAAAATAATGCCTCAGTGTGCATTTAAAAAGAAACTGTAGTTACTAGATTTCAAGTATACCTGCATGTTGGTGTCCTTAGGAGACTGAAATTCCCTTTTTCGTGTGAGATTCACAATGGAATCAGTGTTCTTCCTCAAAAGTCTACCTTGAAGGCAAAGGATGCTGTAGATATTTATACCCTGCATGCCTGGGGAGCTATGGCAACTTGTAAATGACTATGGAATAGTTTCCTGAGTTCTTCACTAGTAGCTGTATTCAGGAGGAAACAGAAATTATAGGCCAAGTGCTAAGTGGGTCTTAGCTATAATAAAACCCTAGGACCATAACCTGCTGAAAGCACTTGTTAACACCAAGTTAACACCAGCTGATGATGACTCCAAATATGACAGAAAACATCTGTGCTCCTGGGATTGTTCAGTACCTGATCTTTCAGAAATCGATCACCAGGCCTTTTTCTGAGGCCCTTTGGGGGGATCTGAACCTCCACATTTTTGGTTAGTAGTAGGTGAGTGTGTTAATCATTTGCACCCTCAAAGGACTCCAATCACTGTTAATCACCTCTTACAGTACACAGATTATACAGAAGATAACCCCACAGTGACAAATACAGTGCAGTTTAGACTAAGATTTTGTTTATGGTTATTCACTGCAACTAATGTGAAAAAAAAATCATTTTAACAGTTCACCCACGTGATCTGGCTGAGTATTCAATCTAATTGACTCTTGAAAAGAACAAAAGTCATACTGCTCTCTGATATATTACTACCTAATCCATTCTTCAAATAATCCATAAGTGCTGAAAAATGTCAACTCCATTTAGGCTTTGTAAATTAAGCTCATTAAAACAGATGAAAGGTAATTAGGGGGTATCTGCATTTGAAGTCCTTTTTGAGTTCTCAAGTATTTAACAAACAAAATTCTTTCAAAGCTAGGGTAAGATTTGATTAAAGGAAGCATGATCCACCCAGAATAGTGAAAAACAAAAACCAAATCCAGGCCACCGAGGACCCAATGTCACTTTTCCTATATAGCACCTATGATTCTTGTAGAAAACTTTCTCTTTCTAGTGACACATCCTTTCTTATCTTCTAGTGCACTTATCAGTGAGCTCTGATAGGGACTAGATAAATCTAAAGGGACTTGTGTTACCAACCCAAAGACCATACCCCTAGCAGTTTGGATCCACCCATGGCTCAGAGGGACAAAGATGGGCAATCTTCTTCTGTGCAAATTTATACTCATGAAAACAAAATGGAAGGCCAGCTATGGGCTGGTACTGACTTGATGGCAATGATTTATTTTGGGTTTTGTTGTTTTTTTAAAAGTAGTTTTTACACTTATTAAAGGAACCCTAGTGTGTGATGTGTGATGTTACATGTTGGACTGTAAACAGAAAGGTCAGTGGTTCAAATCCACCAGTGGCTCTGAGAGACAAAGATGGCAGTCTCCTCTTGTAAAGATTCACAGCCTCATGAACACGACAGAGGATCACCAGGAGTCATAATCAAATAGACAGTAGTGAAGTTTTTAAAATTATACTCATTTATGTTCTCATATGCTTTTCTTACCAGATTGTCATCCCATATTATCAAAATCCTACTCAAGTTACTATTTCTATCCTCTAAGGTATATAGCATGTTGCTGTTGTTGTTACAGGCCACTGAGTCACCTGCGATTCACATTGACCTCTATGCACAATAGCTCTGAACCCTGCTCTATTTTCAGCCAATTTCACTGTCTCTGACACACCTATCCCCATTACCCCAGTCACTGAGTCAATCCATCTCATCCAGGGTCTTCCTCTCCTGTGCTGTCCCTCCATCCTTCCAAGTATAATGTCCTCCAAGGACTGGTTTCTCCTGGCAAAATGCCCTAAGTATGTGAGATGAAGCCTCAGAATCCTTGCTTCCAAGGAACAGCCTGGTTTCATCCTCTCTAGGATGAACCCATTTCTTCTCTTAGCAGTCCATGGTATATTCAGTACTCTTCTTCAGCACAACTCCTCACAGGCATCAGTTTTTTTGTCATCCTTAGTCACTGTCCAGCTTTCTGATGCATAGCAAGTAATTGTGAAGGCCATGGACTGGATCAGGCGCATCTTAGTCTCTAGACCGACACTGCTGCTCTCCAGTACTCTAGAGGGGTCCCTGACAGCAGATTTCCCCAGTGCAATTCATCTTTTGATTTCTTGACTGCTGGTACCAAGGCTGTTGATTGTGGAGCCAAGCAAGCTGAAGCTGTTAACAATCTCAATCTCTTCACTATCTATCAGGATGCTGTCAACTGGCCCAGTGGTGAGAATTTTTGTTTTCTTAATGTTGAGCTTCAATCCATATTGAAGACTGCAGTCCTTGACCCTCTGTAGCAAATGATTCAAGCCCTTCTCAATTTCGGCAAGCAGGGTTTATGTTATCTACATAACACAGGTTGTTTATTAGTCTTCCTCCAATCCTGGTACTACCACATTCCTTCTCATA